CGTGGTAGTGGCCGTGGCAGTGGCAGTGGCAGTGGCAGTAGCTGTGGCCGTGGCCGTAGCCGTGTATCTGTATCTGTTAACTCAACTTAATATAATTAATCTTAATTCGAAATTAATGCTTAATAAGATTTAGTAAGCGTAGCGCAGTAAGTATAACAGCGTAGTAGAGGACTAGGATCACGTGGAGGAATATTATATCTCCGGCGAACTTATAAAACTACTGCTTATATATAATAAAAGCAGAGTATTATAAGTAGACAGGAACTAATATAATTAATACAGATTGCGATACTAGCTAGCTAAATTACTATAGCAGGTGTTTCTACAGACACGCCGGCGGTTAAGAGGACTATTATAGTATTTAATAATTCTATATAGTTTATAAATACAGCACTAAACCTCTCCGCCGGATAAGTAGGCACTTTAACAGCGGCCTAGGGCTCTATTTCCTTAGTCCCTAATAGTTAAACAGCGCTTAAGAATAGCCCTTTATATACTTCTAAGGAAGAGGCTGTTTATAGTAAAGGAGAATCTTTAGGTATAAAACCTTAGTATAATAGTATATACGGCGTTCCTTTTAATTAGTAATTAAAAGGCGGCTATCTAGGCGCTTTCCGCTTCTAGACTAGCTAGAGTAGATAGAGTAAATAGACTGTTATTGTTATATATATATATATTCTATGCAATTCGTGTATATATCTTTTCCGATTTATATAGCCTTACTATTTTACGTATTTAATAAGCAAGTGAATATAATTAGTAGAATAATATTAATACGGGCCGGCGCTAGGCTAGATATAGGGGGGGTAGCAGGAAAAGAAAAAAGGGGTAATACGGAGAGAATAGAGGGGTAGTAATTAAGCTCGTCTATTTCTTATTAAGTATAAATAGTAAGTAAATATAATTAGTGGAATAATATTAATACGGGCCGGCGCTAGGCTAGATATAGGGGGGGTAGCAGGAAGAGAAAAGGGGGGTAATACGGAGAGAATAGAAGGGTGGTAATTAAGCTCGTCCTAAATAAAAGGAGTAAGCTTACGTACTTATTTAAAGGTTTATATAATTAGTAAATTTCCGTAACACCTGCAGGTATTAATAGGACTATAAGGCATTAAAATATTAATAGGAACCGCCTAAAATTAACTAAAATATGCCCCCTATTTTTATAGCTACCTTATTTATTACTTAATTTTAAACGCTTGTAAATCTGTTTAAAGCTATTAAAAATACCCTTTTTTAAAACCCTAACTTATCTAGCTCTTTATAGTAATACCGCTTTTATTCCTTAGATTATTTATATAGTAGCCACGCTCTACTATTTTATTTCTATACTTTAGAAATAGATTTTTATCTTTAGATAACTATTTATACCGCCTAACTAACTAAATATTAAAAAACTTACTTATTATATTCTTTAGATTATTATAGGTAGGTAATAACCTTTTACTAGGGCTAAGGCCAGGGCTAAGGCCAGGGCTATAGCTATAGTATTAAGGTGGGTAGGGTATTTAGTATAGCGGTGGAAACTAACTATAGAACGGTGCTTACCTATAGTAATATAGGTACTGCACTAAAGCAGGTGCTTATAGAATTTAGAATACTATAGTTAGCTTCGCAGCTGCTAGCTAAAAGGGCTGCACCTGCTGCGGTAGCATAGGCGCCCTTTTTTCTTTCTTTTTTCTAGCCTTATTATTAGCTAACTATAGAGCTTCTACTATAGATTTCTAGGTTTTAAGCTTATAGAAAATCTCTATTAACTTTATAGTAATTTTATAGAAGATCTAAGCTAGTAAACTAGTATATATAGGTTTTATTGCCGCAGTTTATATTTATACAGCTCCACCGCTAAGCAATAGTAATAATAAAGTTGCTAGTAGCCTTTTTTACTGCTATTTTATTACCTATAACTAAGGCCTATATTTATATAGTAGTACGCCGGCTAGTTTAAGGTATAGATAAAGTAATAGATAAATAATAAGGTGTATATTAAGAACCGGGTATTACCTAAAAAGTTCCTTTTATACTTATATAGATAGTTTTATCTAGCTATATATATATAATAGCTATTAAATCTAAATAATATAGTTACTTAGGCTATTTAGTTAACTAGCTTTTAATTAAGTTTTTTAGCTCTAATACCTGCTATTTACCCTTTACTTTAGAACTTATAACCTAGGCCTTTAAAAGCTTTTTATATAACGCCCGGCCCTATATTATAATAATTTTATATACCTAGCCTATAGGCAGTAAAGGGAAGCTAATAGTCTTCTTTTTAACCTATTTTATAAAGGCTAGGAATAGTAAATTGCTAAGTAAATAAGTAGTAGAGCGGTTAAACTCTAGTTTTTTTTCTTTTTTAATCTAAACTTTTTATATACTTCTAATCTTTATACTAAGTAGTAGAGGTGGTAATAAGGGCGTTACTTCTACCTATCTATTGCGTATAGCTTCTAGTTACTATAGGAATACGTTTTCCTTATTACTAATATATATAAAATTGCTTTAGGTTTATAGAAGTGGCGGAGAACTTAGGGCAGGCGGAGCAATAATTTTAGGTACAACTCGTGGAGCTTTCTGCTGCTTTTTTTCCTTTTCTTTACGCTGGCGTGCAGTAATTACAGACTCTGCCGCCTTCTAGAAAGGCTTTCTAGCCCTTTTAGCATTTACTACTAGTACTTTCCGGCGTCCTTTTTAGGTAGAAGGGGGTGGAAGAGGTATAGTATTAGAATTCCCAGGCGAATCCCCGGGCGCACTTTGCTTTTAGTGGCGTGTATTTATTATTACAACTAAATAAAGGCTATATAATTAGCCTAATTAGGTATAGAGTATATTATAGAGGATAGGGCAGTTACTTATTAAGGTATTTAACACGTATATAGCTGCGTGGTTAAAGGGGAAAAAGGTGTTCCCTTTAATTTTAGGTGTATTAAGCGGGGAAAAAAAAAATATCGGCTATAAAAAGTAGGCGCGTGTATTTCGCAATCGACTCTACTAGAGAAATACTACGCTATATATTATTTTATCTATTTCTCTAGAATCTTCTAAAAGCTAGCTAGTAAGGTAGTTTATAAGATAGCTATTATATACTATAATATTTTACTTTCTAAATAGTAAAACGTTTCTATAAAGTGCTTAATATAGTTAGTAAGCTAGTAGGCTATATAAGCTAGTAGGCCACCCTACTAAAATCGCGAAACTTATAACGTATTATATAACTATAAACTTAATAGCCACCCTATAATAAGAAAAAACCCTTTTTTAAAAAGGTAGAATTCTTCTATTTATTAATACCTATAAGTAAGGCTAATTTATAAGTTTCCGAAAAGCTACTAGTATATATAATATACCCTAATCTATAGCCTAATAATAGTAGAAAGGAATTATACTATAACGCGGTTATATTATATTAAATCGCCGTTTTATACTAGTATAAGAAGATATCCTTAAGCAATAGATTCTATTAATAGATTAATGCGGTATACTACTAAAAATTGCGGTTATATAGCAGATAGCTAGTATTTTAGCTATATAGCGCGATAGATCTGCTACTATATAACTTATTAGTAAGAAATAGGTATATAACTTTATTAAGCGCTATAATAAACTATAATCTAAATTTAATTATAAGTATAACTACTAGTATACTAAATATAAGAATCCTGTGCTTATTTAGAGCTAGTTTAAATATATTTAAAATATAAAGATATAATATAGGATTCTAAATAATAATACCTAGAATTTTAATAAAACTAGTATCTAGATAGGTGTTATTATAACTACAAAAGTTATTACTAGAATAGATTATACTGGCCGGCTTAGAATAGTATAGCCAGGCAATTAAAAATAAGTTATAACTATTAAGTATATTAACGTGTTAAGGGGTGTAATTCCACTACTTATTATTTTTAAGGCAGTAATATACCAGGCTGCCTAGTATAAGAATAATATTATACTATATAACTAGATAATTAGTATTAGTAAAAATAGCTGGATAATAAACAAGATTAGCCTAGCCTGGCTAAATCTATTCTATAAGCATATAAAGGATCGCACCGTTAGCACGTATTAGCTGCTTGTGCTAGATAGCTATAACAGCTATATAAACCTTAAATTTAATTAGTTCTGCCAGGACTATAATATTATTATTGTCTGCATGCCGGCGCATTTATTGCATCTTCTGCAGCTGCTTAATATAGGCTGTTTCTCGGCGCTAAAGCAGGCCTATAGATGCAGCGTTGAACAGCTTATAGGCCGCGGTGTTAACCACATTAATAAATGCGAATTCCTGCCACTATATAGGCAGGCCAGGGAAACAGCGCTACAATAAGCAAATATACGGGCAGGATTCGCAGCTACAGGCCTAGTTCTATATAACCCTGATCGCATGCTGCACGCTGAATATTAGACACTATCACCACAACGCCGTCCGCCGTTAAATGCATCTTGGGCAGCTGAAACACCTTACAATATTGCTGAGCTACAGGAGCAGACGGCCTTGCTAAGGCGCTATCTCAGGCAGGGCGCGCAATGCCCACCAAGTCCAACAGAACGAGTCCTTGACCAGCTTGCTAAGGGGTGCGAAATAGCGATGTTAGATGTTGCCCTGCTTCGAAGCGAAGTTGACATGCTACGCATGGAAAACAAGCGCCAGAAACAAAAGAGGGCCAAGAAGCGCAAATATATAGCTAGAGAGGGTCTTCTAAATGCAGCAGTAGGGGCCTCTCGTGCACAAGCTGCCCGCATAGAGGCAGCAGAGGGGGCAGCAGCGGCAGCGGCCGAGCGACCGCAGCGTGCAAAACCTAGGTGCAGCATGTGCGAATCGACTGAACACAACGCACGTACGTGCCCTAGACGGCAGGCAACTAGCTAGTAGATAGCTACACTAAATACAATTGTTCGTTGTTGTGTAATTCCTGATTTTGTGGTCGCGATTTCAGTGGGGTGGCCCACTAGCTTGCATGGCCCACTAGCTTGCCGACTACGTTATAGGTGTTCGTCGTGCTGACAAAGTCACCCCGATCCAGCTGTCCTTTAGTGTATTTTCGCTGTCACTGAATGGATACAAGACAAAAGAGGAACTTTATTTTTCATTGACTGGTTCACTACTCTTACATTTGTATCGTTCATTAAAGAGAGCGTTAGCAACGCTACTATAGTTGCTCAATTCCATATTCCTCCATCCAGCGCCTCTAGTGGCGCACCCTCTTGTTGATTTCCTCTGCTGCAAGTGATGCTTTGCGTTTCGAACGTGACGCGCTTTCGAGTGGCGACGCATGAGAGAGCTCGTCATATTGGGAGGTTTTTCGAGACCTTGTCGCTGATGAGCTTCCGGTCGACGCACGTTTCGATGCCTTTGCCTCTTTGAAAACTGGGAGGGCTATACGAGGAGCGTATGTGTTTGGCTTGTAGTCTTTCCCTCCCTTGCTCTTGTCTCTGTTGAATTCCTTGACGACCGAGTCAAGATCAAATAACCCCTTATTGTACTTCGTGAAACTTTCCAAATTTTCGAACCTCCCCTCACGAAGAGACGGCAGCTTGAAGCGCGATCCGGAATCGTATAGACTGAGTTGAGGCTGCTCAGTCGCTGGAGCGCTGGTTCTGATCACTCGTCCTTCTTCAAGTTGCGTAAACCTTGCTCGCTCTTTGCCTTTTGCACTGGGTGTCGCGACCTCCGTAGCTTTGCCTTTCCCTTTGCCTTGATCCGCCGTTCTATCAGCGCGAGAACCAGCGCCGTTCTGGCGGAGATCCGCATCAATCCAGTCGGACTCCACCTTGGCCATGTATATCGTCTCGCCGAAGGGCAGGATAGCGGGCATGTCTGCGTGCCAGATTTCCGGTTCGTTTGGTGCGTCTTTATCACGTCCGTACTCCCATACTTTTGTGCGAATGCCGACGTCCTCGCGACGTCTATCGTGGGGACGCGTTGCTGCACTCGGGTCGCCTTGAGCTGGCTTTGGTTTCGAGGCTGTCGTGCTCGTACGGGATCCTGGCACGACTTGGGTAGATGATACGGCAGCTTGGTGGTGGGGTTTGGTAGGTAAGTCTTCAGGCTCCCGAGCTAATCCGCGATACCTTCCCACCTCCTCAACACTGGAAGAGTCGCTTTCACTTGTTTCACTTAGCCGGCCTGGATGGACAGCTATTGGCTCTGTGCGCTCCAAAGCTCTAATTTGTCGTTTATGCCCCTCCACCTGCGCTCTGACCTGATTATACAAACGACGATCGAACGAAAGACCTTCTACAGGGTATCTTCTCAGGATGAATCTCTCAATGAGATCAAGGCGTCGCTCAAATTGTCGAGACGAGTGTACATTTTGGTTTGCGAGATACTGGTTGGCTTGTGCAAGGCACTCATTAGGGTCTGGATGTTCTGAAAACTCCTTTTCGCGTCCTTCCACAGGGCCTAGATACGCACGGCTGAGGCGCCGGCCATGATCAGATACCCTAGGAGGCATTTTAATGGACGAGGCTCAAACGGCAAAGCTAGCGGTGTAAAAAGTGATATTGATTGCGGGCTGGGGATCGGGCTGCGCGATTGAGATGGGACTTTGATAATGGTTGAGAGGTATGATGTTCCAATGGTCTGCGAACCGAGCACTCAGCTTCCAAGGGTGAGTGAGTAGAAGAAGGCTGTCACCGTGCTGAAATAGATCGAGGTTGGTGGGTTTGCGATACTTCCTTTCGCGCAACAACAAAGGAATGCTGCAAGCGAACGTCTTCCTGGCCGCAAACGGACGAAAACGTGTTGAGAAGAACATCATGTATTGATGCGGCTTCTTTGTTATACTAGCAGTCCAGGCCGATATGTGCCCGGAATGAATGGCGATAAAGAAACCTTTGTTGTTCGCCGCAGTTGATCAATGCTGTGATATGGAATTATCAATTACGATGTGGACAGGTGGAGCGGATGCAGCAAATGTGCTCAGAGGCGTGACCCCAATGATCTCACAAGCAGCGAACAAGAAAACTACTTCTTAGCCTAAAAAGATTTCTCCGGCGACTCAGGATTTCGGTGATTTCTTTCGTGATAGCTGCGGCGTTGGCGGCGTGATTACTGTCGAAATTCCCACAGGCCTTCGTCCAAGATCGAGCGAGTTTCCTACTTCCGCCACATTAGATCCTTCCAGCTCTGGCATATTAACATCTTCAGCCGGCATTTCATGGAGGATTGTCGTATCACCGTCGACTTCGGCGATCTTGATGTGCTCGTGACCAGAAGAAAGTTCAGTATTCCCGTGCGAGTCGCCTCCAATCTCATGCCTCTCCCCGCTATCAATCTCAATTTTGGGACCTTTATCACCGCTTATAGCTTGAGTGTCTTCACCCTCGAGTTCAGCGCGCTTCCTATGTATATCGGCGGCCAGACGCTTCTTGCGGCGGTACATGAAGAATACGGCAATGGAAACGATGCAGACGATGGCGACGGCCCCAATAGCAATACCTGCGATAGTACTTGTCGATAAGGTACTACTATTGTCTTTTCCTGTATTTTGTGGTCCAGTGGTATTGGTAGTTGCAACCTCAGGGAAGATGGGAACAATGTTCTGAGCTACACTTGAGGCAGGATAAAGTGCCTGGGAGAGGCTGAAGGTGTCTCGGTCGTAGTTGGCAGAAATATATGCGCTCTGGAGGAACGTACGGCCGAGAAGATACTGAGATTCATTCTGGGCCCTTTTAAGCGGAAAGTATAGCGAAGTCGAGTTGATAAAAGGCGGCTTCGCCGTTTGATAGAAGTTCCAATAAGGTAAGACGATTGACACAGAGTCACCTGTCACCTGAGGACCCACCTTGAAGGTGATATTTGGGTTCTTTGCAAGCAAAGCATCATGTGTCGTATCGTTCATCAGATACAACTCAGTCTTATTATCCCATACCAGGCCAAAGGCGTCTTCGAAGAGTTTGCAGGCTTCCAAGGGGAGCCATATGTGTGCGATGAGGGTGTCGATATAGGCAATAATGCCTGATTTCAAGAGCGGGGTGCTGATGAGATCTGTGGTGATGGCCTGGATAGCAACTTGGAAGTCTAATGAGATGTCGGCGCCGAATGGGAACGTGACGTTGTTTGCCACGAACCTAGTGGAATCGTACCCTCCAATGGTAAGACTTCCGAACACTTTGGGAGATAGATTGTTTGAGCCCGCTGTGTAGGACCAGGAGGTGCTCGGAATAGGCGTGCTCATGTTCTTCAGACTCTGCATCAGGCTGGGTTGAGGGTCATTGAAGTCGGTGAAGTTCATGGGTCGGGGATTCAACGAGAGACTTCCAACGTAGAAGCTTTCAGTGTATATTCCGGCGACGACCTGATGGGTGAGCGAAGGAAGGCCGTCTCCTTGCCAACCAAGCTGGATAGTTTCGAAGCCATACAAGCCGACTCCGGTAAGTCCCACGGGCGCTTCGACGAAAGTTGAAAGTTCGAATGATCCGTGCTGGTCCCAAGTACTGGACTGGTTCCTTCGGTAATAGTAACCGCGATCGTCCTCACAGGTCTCAGCCTTGTCGGTGCATGTTGACAGTGCTTCAGGCACAATAAGCCAAGTTGACGACTGGTCCAATGCCGGCAGCAGGCGAACCTGTTGGGCGGGAGTTCCAACTTGAACGCGAAATGTGGACCAGCTTCCATCATCTCCATCCCAGTACTGGCTTGGAGGGATGCTGATGGGCTTTCCCAGTGTTGTTAAGTTCGCAACGCCGCGGGCAAAAGAGGCAAACGAACAGAACAGGCCCAGCAGCAGCGGAGCAGCTGCATGCGCCATAGTGCAAGCTCAGAACGAAGGACGGAGAGAAACGAAGGAGAGGTTGACAGACGCGACGCAAAGATTCATTGCCGTGCTTCGCAAGATAGTGAGAGAGAAAAGAGGAGGGCGCACATGCAGGCAGAGACACTGTACCTCCACGAACGACCCATCACCTGGTCTCGGCGCGTATTGGGAGCTGGAGTCGAATTTGATTAAGAAGCAGGGGAGGGTGGACACATTGGCTGGTGGTGCGAGGGACGCTGGCAGTACTGTCCAACCAGAGCACGCCGTGGATATTGAGGTGCGACGTTGGCACTAAAAAGCCCGTGCTTTCGGGGTCAGGGCCAAAAGAGTGATATGGGCCATGCTATCCCCCGTCAGCAATACCATCCACGGCAATTTCCTTTCTACATGACGGTGGGTTGAGTGCGTTCGACTTCTCATTTCCCTGGGATGCAGGAGTTTCATGTTTCAGCCGCCAAATGGTGCACCATGGTGCACCAGGTCCCGCCCCAGCCGCCAGCCATAGGATCATTAAGCCAGAGCGCTGCGCTCAGGCCACACTCCATCTGCCAGGCTCCATGGCGCTGGCCCGGAGAGCTGTCAGGCTTCCAGAAAATGTCTCTTCTCAATGTACATGAATCAGAGAACCTAAGCAGTGCTACCACCGCGATTTCACGGGAGCTTCAGTCACGTGACCATATTTTGGATAGCGGCTTCAACTTTGATTAGTTAGATTTGATCACGTGGCTGGATCTCACGTGAAATCGCTCTCCACTCTGATGAGATGCTGCTAGAATTTATCTCAGGAACCTCAAAGACCCTCGGAGAGAAATTCCCTCAGACACTCTAAAATTGTGGATTACGTGAAAACTTCTGCCAAGTCCTGCAAACTTCTGAGCCAATCAGCGGCTACAGCCGCCACACGATTGTGGCCCCGCAATTTCTGCGAACTCCTGGGCCAATAGGCGGCTAGTGCTGCCCTACCCCTGTACGCCGCAGGCGTTAGCGCTTGCGCTATTTTTCCAGCCAATTACAGAGCGCCGAGGGGATTCCTCTCCGAGGGTCTGAGGGAAAATGGGCGCGTTTGTAAGGGCCGGTGCAGTTGCCTCATAACAAAACCTGTGGTGTTGCTTCAAGCCTATATATCGCCCCCTAATACACCACTAATTGCCTCGCCGATACCTCCATTCAAAAGCCTGTTACCTGTTCTATACAATACATCCGCAATAGAGTCCAGCCTTGCCCGTTTTTCTATTGCAATGGCCCGATCAACTGGAAAGCAACGCGGCAGAAGCGAATCGATGCGTTGGCAACGGCTTAAGCACGTTGACATTCATCATCTCTGGCTGCGCCAGTAAGTACAACGGCACGAGATTGAAATCAAATAGACCCTTACGGCCGCGATGATTGCAGACGGCTTCACCAAGGCACTAGACCGCCAAAAGCACGAGAAATTCGTTGCACAGATTAGACTTGTGGACACCAAGCACCACATCGCATACAACACCACGGCTACGGCCACTGCCTAGCTACAGCTACGGCTACGGCTACGTCCTAGCACCTGCTACTGGCTAGCATTTGCTATCAAATTAACTATTTCTTATTACTTCTCGTTTTCTTATACAGCTTGTAGCTTCGCTACCGTTTCGCTACAATCGCCTTACTAAATAATAATACTACCCTCCTACAACCTAACCTCTATATTACAGAACCCCTTAGCATGTTACCTAAGTTCCTAAGAGGTGGTGGACCAGTCTAAGGGCAAGTACAAGCATATACGGGTGTATTTTAACCCGCCTACACATCCACATCAGCTGCTGGGAGCCTAAAATCGGTCGCACCGGCCGCTAACTGGCTAGGAAAGCGCATTATAGGTTGTAGGAGGATATTATTATTCAATAAGGCGGTTGTAATAGGGTAGGAGATGCGCTTCTAGAAGTTTAGTATATAATAGAGTTATAGTAGTTGTATATAGTCGCTATGTTAATAGGAGCTGGTAATTCCGACCGGCTTCGAAAACGCGTATACAAACTTTAACGCTATACTTTGCCCCCTAATACACGGGTTAGCTGGCTATATTATTTAGATTGCGGTAGAAAAAGGGGGCGGGTAATTTGACACCCCCTTTCGAGTAGCCGCACACCCCTTTTCGAGTAACCACACACCCCCCCTCTTTTGGCGCTTCACCGCCTTCTAATTGGCTTGGAGAACTGCTCCGGAGCTTCCGATTTGCTCGCTTAATTTGCTTATTAATTCCGAATGCTCTCTCCAAATGCGGCCTTGGTTACAATTAATTACATCCTTTTCCTCTCCCTCCACAACACACTCACTATGGCCCTCCAGCCGCCACGGCTGGCGTACTACGCTACAACAGAGGAAGCGCATATTGCTCTACAAGCGCACGCATTAGCGCAGGGCTACGGCCTAGCAAAATACCGTAGTAAACCAGACAGAGTGGACATACAAGCATACCTCCAGGACGCATGCCGACAGCTCCGCCGCCAGCACCGCCTATTTCTGTAGTCCCTCGTCCAGCTCCTGTCACTCGGAATGCCTATTAGTCGACAGCTACACCGGTTAATCTTTCTCGTATTAATCCAGCCCTTCTTAGGCCTACAGCTGCATCTACAGCAGCACCTCTACGGCAGCACCTACAGCAGCACCTACGGCAGCACCTATAGCAGTACCTACGGCAGAACCTATAGCAACGCATACAGCAGCGCATACAGCAGCGCATACAGCAGCGTATACAGCAGCGCCTACGGCTACACCTACGGCTGCACCTGCAGCTAAGAAGCGCGGCCGGCCGCCTGGTGCAAAGGATAAGGTACCACAGAAAAGGGCACTTTAGAGGAAAGATAGTACTCAGCATACAACTTAGCCTATGCCTCAGCCTCAGCCTCATCCTCAAGCACAGAGGCTTAGCCGAAAGGAGCTTCTACATCAGTTTGCAGCGTATAATAAGGAAATCGAGGGGTATATTAATCAGGGTGAAGAGTAGGTGTAGGCGGCGATGCTAGGGGGCCAGGCTTAATGCAAAGGAGCTGTAATAAGGTAAAGTTTTAACAGGTTTGGCATGCTATTAGGCACGTAGGCACTTCTAGAATAGAATTCCATTCTATACTTATACTTAGACTTAGACTACGTAAGCTCGTACGTGAGCTTGTACCTAAGGCTATACGTAAGTGTCACGGTATCGACCGCGACACCCTACCTACCGAAATTCTGCCGCAGATTGCTACAACTCCAGCAATCTGCACCGGCCTACTACCGTTGGCCGGCCTCCTGCCCTGCCTACCCTGCTCCGCTCCCGTCTCGCTTCCGCTTCCTATCCTGTCCCGCTCCAGCCACCTACCGGCTGCCCCCTTTTCCTATCACCTGATCTGGTAAGGACCTCGCGTACACGCGTGCCACGCGCCGAAACGGCATAGAGGCCGTACGCCACGCGCTCGGCCACGCCCTTATATCCGGTGGCCCGTCTCCCGTCTTCCTGTTCCTTACACAACGTCTTGATTCTCCACGTAGCATTGTACATAGCACCTAATCAACGCTCCTCTTTGAGCCCTCGACCTCTCGCGTGTAGCGCTATCGTGACAGTAAGGCTATACAAATCGGCATAGCTATATAGCTGTACAGAAGCTCGTGTATAGCATCACGTACGGCCTTGCGTATAGCATCACGTGTAGAGAGACGTAAAGGTGAATGCTCGGAGCTTCCTCCGCACTGCTATAAGCCAATTAGAAGGCGGTGAAGCGCCAAGAGAGGGGGGGTGTGTGGTTACTCGAAAAGGGGTGTGCGGCTACTCGAAAGGGGGTGTTAAATTACCCGCCCCCTAGAAAAATGGACTACAACTAATTTGCATTAATAACTAAGACTGTACCTAATAAAGTGACCTTGCTACCTGTGTATAAAGTTAACACGCGTTGAAGTTTCTGACCTGCTTACACCAAACACGCGCCCATTTAAGCTCAGACGCTTCATAGAGGAATTTTGGGGGGGGCAGGGGTGTGGCAGGGGTGTGGCAGGGGGGTAAGGGGTAGCGCGGGGCCCTATTGGCTCAGGAGTTCACAGGAGTTGGCAGAAGTGGGGCTGTAGCAATGCAGTGGGGCCGGTGGGGCTAGCACCGCCTCAAAATTCTCTGTGAAGCGTCTAAGGTCCCTGAGATAAGCTAGAATTAGGATTTAGCAAAGTCAAATTTCATGGTTTCTTGCAGATTTTCGAAAGCCATGCCATAGCACCTATACACTGCCTGCTTTTATGCCATCCAGTCCCCTCGCTTCATTCCTGGACCTCTGGATTCCGTTTCCTCATCTAACGTCGGTCTTTCAGTTCTAAGCAACCAGAATACCCATTTCTCCAGCGGCCTAAACAATAGCATCGCCTCGTTTATTCTCCACCCCATGGCAGGAACTGTAGCGCCAATTATCGCATCTAGGACGAAATGATTTGCCGTGGCAATGATAGTAACGAACATCAACAGCGGCCACAGGGGCGAAAACCACCTCACCCACCTATGTGGGGAGAAACGAGACAAGCAGGTGCCGATGAACAGCGCGGTGCCGAAATGAAGACTGGGCATCGCGGCAATAGTCAGCTGGAAGCGGTTTTGGGTCCATGCGCTTTAGGTTTCCGAGTGGAGGACATCTTTGAAGCCGTACTCCGGTGGAAGTAGTCTTGGTGGCATGCAACGCCAGCAAGTTATCATAATGAAGGCGATCATGTTGTTAATCGCGATCGTACGGCGAATGCTTTGAAAGAGGGCCGGGGGGAGCACGGTGAAGCAATAAACCACGAATGCAGCTCCCACAACAATGTGAGAATAGTATACCTTCCCAAGTACCGTCATAAGATAAGGCCGGCTGTGAAGGATATAGGACTGAACACGGAGCTCGAAGTTAATGCCCCACCTTTCTTCCTGAGAAAGCACGTGCAAAGCATGCACACGGGCGAGGGAGAAAACATAGTCGTCTTCTCGAATGATATATGCAGAGTATGCACGTGCAAGTTGATACGACTTATAATTGAAAGCGTCAGCTCAGCTCACACAGCGATTTGACGATACTTTGGGAGGATACTCCTCTAGTTGATCGTCGGCGGCGGTTGATGAGGGCTCCGACGGCGAAGATGACGGTGATTGCTGCAGCTAAGTCAGTGATTTCTAAGCTTAGGGATGATGCGTAAGACTTGCCGCCAGGCTCGATAAAGTCCCCTGATGGCCATGCTACCTGTGACTGAAGGATAGGGGCAGGAACGCCAATTTGTAGTCATGCTGTGGATAGGTGGACGTGGCCAAGGCGCTATCTCATCATGAAGGAAGATGCTGGCATATTTGATAGTGTTGAGTTGCGTAGGGAGCTTTCGTATGCTCTCGTCGATACGATAGGTGCGACCCGAGAGTGACGAGGCAGACGGAGTGGGTCCCTGATTCCGCCAGCTTCCGTTTGTCCCATGTAGGAGATGACGACTAACTTGAAAGGCCACAATACAGTTTCGATCAGAAGCAAATCGGTCTTAGTCCGTAGCGACTACATACGCATGGGCATTGGCAGAAAGCATCGATGAGGCTGAACGGTCATCGGCCTCGTCTGTTGAAGCTAGGTAAGGCCTTGAAAGTAGATACCAAGACAATGAAAACAACATGACTTGAGACTCGACTCGAGAGAAACTGGAATCAGTTCTTACCGTACACGTCTCTGGAGAACTCCGGAAAGGTTCTGCGCCATTAGCAGGACCATAGAGAAGTCCACCTGCATTGCGGTCGCGGGGCTTTTCAGCTATAAGATAAGATGCTCTTGTCAACGCATTGAGCGAATAGCACGCGCCCGCCGCAATACCTGGATCTATGGGTGCCAGTAGATGACGCAGGCCCAAAGGTAAGAATAATTGGCGTCGTGAATCATTTCAGCGCTCCACGACGTCGATCGTCACATTGACTGCCCTCCTATGTGCGAAACTGACCTCGTAATCTTGGATCGGAACCTTATAAGAGCTGACGCGTCTCATTGTGTACTTCGAAAACGCGGAAGTATTATTGCAATAGGATAAACGAGTGTGTCCTGATGGAGGCGGCACCCAGGCACCGAAGGAGTAGAGTAGTGAAAGGGAAAGCGATATTTTCGTCGCTCATCCCATTGTTCCTAGCCTTTTCTCTCCCGGAATAGCACCACAGCCTCCTCCAAGCTGTAAGGAGATAGAGGCTCTCCTCTCTTTCCCTTGTAAACAATGTGGTGGTCGACGGAAGCCTCATCGGCCCCGGCTCCTCCTGTACCTAGGCTAGCGCCATTGAAGCTCGTACATAGTAGACCTCCGCACACTGGGCATGAAAGAAGTGGCACACTCATCAAGCACTCTGTCTCACGTGTACACCTGTCTGCCACTGTCTGGGGTACTTCAACGATTTTCTACATAGTCCAAGGCGAAGGGGGTCTATCTCATTTCAATTCCTGAAAGCTCTCTAAGGCACCCCAAGCAGTGGCAGACAGCTTGTTCTGGAATTAGTGTGCCACCTTTTCCATGCCCCGCGTGCCCGGCTCCTCCAGCTATAGCCCCATAGCTCGCAGACCTCCGATACATTCCCGCAACTTAGACAACGTGCCCTTTCCATATGGCCGCCACTGCGAACTTACAGCCATGGCCTGAGGGCAAGGACGCAATCTTGACGCGGCGGCTCGTAATCCTATCCTTCTGGGCCATTGTCCTGTGTCTCGGACTGCCAGTATGGTGGAAGACTACGGCCATCTACCGCGCGGATCTCCCTCTTCAGGTTATGAATGACTGGGCTGAGGGCAAGGTTGGTCCTCTTTATGCACTACGCGAATGCTACTGACACTCTTCCAGACATGTCGACCCGTATTCCCTCTGCGCATTGCCTTTGAAGCACCCGCGCTGCCTCTTCAAGATGCACAACACCTCCTTCGCACGACGCAGCACGCTCTAGACGACCTCAACGAGTTCTCCGCCCATCACTTGCGCCTGATGCCTGCCGGCTCTTCGGTGGCAGCGAACACATCACACGATTCACAGAGCAGGGCTGTCCAGGACGGTGTGCTTCACAACGTGCAGGATGAAGATGTTGCAATGCTCATTAGGCTGGTTCCTGGGGAGTCTGGATCCACACCGCGTGCTGAGCTTCAGTCCTATTCACCGACTTTGGAAGTATACTACACGTCGAATCAGATTCCGTCATCTTCGTCCACTTCCTCACCCCTGGCTACCTTCATTGCGCACGAATTGCAGAAGATATTTGCGGAGGAACAGGCCTCGCTCGCGTACTTACTATCAACTAGCTCGACTGCACACAACTCAAAGATGAAATCACTATCCCCGGAAACCGCATCCGCTCTGGAGAGGCAGTCGACGAGAGCCTTCAAATATGCTCCTACATATCATCTAACATTCTCACTTTTCAGCCCTACGGCATCGCCGTCCGAGTGGGAAATAGAATCTGCGCTCCAAGAATACATATCTCCTTTGCTCCAGTCGCTTTCCTCGATTAGCAACTTCACCGTCGATACCCAGGTTCAGCTCTATGCAACCTTTTCTCCGTCAATCCACCACCCAGAGTACGATGCTCCGAGCAATTCGTGGACTCTGCGCAAGGAAGACTTGAGTGGTTTCATAAACGCTGCGGAGTGGCCGCTGAGCCCAAGCATAGGTGCTGGACCAACTGTAAATTTCGTTCTCTATGTCCCGGATCCTAGCCAGTCACCGCTCCTTGTCAAAGAAAATGGAGGAAACAGCTGGCTCGTGCCGCAATGGGGCGGAGTCCTGATTCTTAACCCAGAAGCATCACATCAAAACAGCGAAACCACCAGAATTCTCACGCAAGAGTCTTTACGGCCCGCGATGCTGACCTTTTCGAATCAGCTGTTTTCATTGCTCGGACTACCTCAGACTCCATCGTCCCTCCCTTTGCGTCTTTCGACTCTCAAGAGAGTTCGCGCAGCAGCCCTACTTTTCTCCGCATCCTCTACGCTCGGGGCACTAGCACGACTCACGAAAGCTCTACCCTCCATTTCAATACCGGACACTGTGGCTAAATCCGTCGACCAAACTATCATCCATCTCCATGATGCGTGCAGCGACCTTCGTGCTGGGAAGTTTCATGGTGCTTTGGAGCATGCCAGAATTGCCGAAGCCGAGGCCGAGAAAGCTTTTTTTGAGCGATCCATGGTTGGCCAGGTGTACTTCCCAGATGAGCACAAAGTCGCTGTATACTTACCATTGCTTGGTCCAGTCGCCGTTCCCTTGGTACTGGCGGGATTGAAAGAACTGAAAAGTTTCCGGTCAAGAAGTTGAGCGACAAAGAGTAGTTGCTCTTTGCTTCATGTCACATGCGACGGCCCGTTTCGGATCAATGCTTGGTGAAAGTATTATGTCCCGAAAGACGAGCCGTTGCTAATGTCGACCGTCTGCCGATTGATTCTCCGAGGCTTTGTGCCATGGACTGTCCGATGCGTTTGGGCATTCCACACAATCAGAGCTTCAGTTTGTTGTACCTCGCGAAATCAGCCAATTGCTCTACGGAATATTGAGCATACGCTAATTATGATTGGCCGAGCTGCAGGCAGCTACTAGGCAGCAATGCGAGAATTCAACACAATTTGCTCGCAACTAGCTGTGAGATCATTGGAATGTACCGAGATACTCTCAAGAGATACTATGATCAAATCCTAATCAAAACTGCCTGTTTCCCTCGCTTATCGTGCTAGCGTTATTCTACAGCAGGAGTCCCTTCCTCTCCCAAGAGATGCCATGAATGTAGCGAGGGCAGGCGCATTCTACTCTCTAAGATGTAGTGATATTTCATGCTGCTGCTATACTTCACGCGCGATTTATATTCAAGACGCGTAAAATCGACCATTCACGTCCTCACGCTTATTGCTTTGGCGTGGTCTCTGAGGACAGTCAAACTCTATAGTAAAATCTAGTCTTCGGGTCTTCGTCTGGATCCAACGCACACAACTTTTCTAGTAAACACCGTAGTCGGGTTGCCAATCGGGTCTTTCCCTTTCAAAATCTTGATGCTAATGGCAACGTGGATTTTACATTGCAGAATGGAAGCTCCCGGAAGCCTGATAGCGACAAAGTTTCTAGCAGAGCTTTGGTGGCTGAAACATCAGCAGAAAGGTCATCGGATTACGACAAGGCTAGTGACGATAGTCCACGAATAGAAGTGTGGGCTGTTGGAGGACCGACACTGATGTGGATGCCCCGGCCCATAGGATAGCCTATTCGCACCACTTTACGGTGAATAGCACGACGAATTCGAAGGCGTCATCAACAAGACCGCAAGGGGAAGCGAGAAGCGAACAAGTCGTAGGCGCGACTATAGTCACGAGGTTACGCGAAAGAGAAAACGATGCCGAAAGTCAGAAATGGTTTATGAACATTTGAAAATTTTCTGTTCAACGGGTATCAATGTTTTGGATGTACCGTTACAAGAATGTACCTTTGTACTACTGTGCTACCGTGATTTTCCGAGAGTCCGTTACGTGACATAACTCGGTTGGCAAATTTCTTTAGCTCGAGTCACGTGAGGGAATATCCTCAAAAATCACGGTGGTAAGATAGGGTAGTTGATAAATGTAAGGTCCTTACGACGAGGTTGAGACACGCAAGCATGTGAGATACCCGTAAGAAATCATTGCTCGAGGCTTATCGACGTGGCTATCATTGATTCAACTATCCTACATACCCACTGGCACCACATCAAGAGAAGAACGGCCTGCGTTTTATAGACTGGGTTGCCGTCCGAGGACGACCACGTTTGCGCTTCCCAGAGGTGAGTCTCGAGAAAGCCCTTGATTGGGGTTTCGCCAGTGTGTGGGGTATTGGAGATGTAGATTTGACAGCGTCCTTGATGGTTCCTCGAGAGAGACAGAAATCGATGTGGGAGTTGAAAGCCTTGTCCTCGGCAAGCTGGTTTAAGCCGCAAACTGGACATTCCCATTTCTCCTGCTCTACCTCAGCTTGGTCCAAGGTAGGAGGAGGCGATGATATGCGAGGTAAACCATGATGGACGTCGCTTGAATCTTTGATGCGGTCTAGTTGAGGGAGTCTTTGGTACTCCTGGCTCAATTCCTCCAAGTCATTCATCTCGTCTGAAAGCTCTCGGCGAGCAGCTTCTTCAAACTCTGCTTCTGGCCACACCTCCCATTCTCCATCGCCCTCTGGTTTCAAGATGCCAGGCCCAGAGGTAGCTTCTCCGCTTCTAGAAGAAGTAGTACGTTTATTCAGGCCAAAAAAGTCAATGCCGGCCTTCTTAGTGCTTAGGATGTGGGTTACCCGAAGACCCATGAGTCTCAGTTTCATGCCCGGAAACTCTTTCTCTAGTTTCGCCAACATCGGTAAAGCGTATTTGTATAGGTCGCTGGCAATGTGAACGGCCTTGGGTGGGGCAACCTGCCTAGTCAAAACTTCATACGTGTGCAGTTTGACTTTCAATACTAAGGTACGGCCTTTGTACTGAGTGCGCTCAAGGTCTTTTTCTAATTCTTCAGCAATATGCCTTAACTTTTCACGTAGCTCTGTCTTTCCGCTCATTTCCCGAAAGGTCGACTCGGTCCCAACGCTTTTTCGCTCATACTCTTCAGCAGGCTGAATACTAGTACGTCCAAGGCCTAGATAGCATTGCATCAAGAAATGGGCTGCTTTCTCTCCAAACAATTTGGACAAGTAGGCACGGTGCGCATAGATGTCACCACAGGTCTTTATCCCTATTGCATCCAACTCTCGCTCGAACACTCGCCCTATGCCGTTGACTTTTCGAGTGGGCAAAGCCTTCATGAACTCAAGAATAGTTGATCTGTCGCTCGCGATCCGAAACTGGCCGTTTGGTTTGTTCCTATTGGACGCGATCTTAGCCAGTTTTGCGTTTGCTGCGATTCCTGCGGATACGGTTATGCGGGTTTTCTGGTGGACCTCCGCGCGAAGCTGAGCAACCGCCTCCTCGGGCGCAATGCTATTTTCGTTGCAGTAGTTTGTGATATTGAGATAGGCCTCGTCGATGCTAGCACTTTCGAATCGAGGGTCGTATTCGGCAATGATAGCGCGCACTTCTTCTGCCTTTGCCGTGTACTTTTCGAAATTAAGAGGCAAACAGACCAACTGCGGACAGAGCTTCATGGCCACGAAGCCGGCCATGCCGCTTCTGCAGCCAAACTTGCGGGCATGGTAGTTGCAAGTGGTCAGGACGCCTTTGCCCACAGCCATGGGCACATCACGCAGCTCGGGCCTATCCAGTTCTTCCACGGCGGCATAGAATGCATCGCAATCGATGTGCACCACCGTCTGTGTCAGATCACGGCCAAGCTCCAGCTCAGTGATATAGTCGTCGGCGCGCCGCTGGTCAGAGGCAAGGTCGAGGCGCTCGACCTGGCGCTTTCGAGCGAGTATACGGTTGATCTTTTCGGTCAGGTTGCGGTCTTTCGCCTCTTCGTTGTTGAAGAATTTGGAGCCTTTGGAGGCGTTGTATATGATATTCGATACCTACAGCCATTAGTGTCAGTTGGCTGTGTATATCTGAGGCACTGGATGGAGCACCTTTTGCTGGTCTACGCTGTCCTGGCCAGCTTTCGTGAGAGAGGGACCAAGTAGGTGATATTTCAGCGTGTCGTGCTCGTGGCTATCTGGAGAAGGCGTCGCTTCACCTGGATTGGAAACGGCATGTTCATGGGTATCGGAGTTCATGCTGGTGTGATTTAGACGCAGACATGGGAAGATTGGCGGTGTTGCTTGCGGATGAGATCCCTCGGTCGGTCGCTGAGAACGCGTATCCCAGCATCCAGTCACGAACTCACGTTTCTCAACGCAGGGGCCTGTAAACCAAGTTGAACTACTTCGTATGCACTGGTAGCGCTGGTATTAGCTAGCACTCTAAAGCATCTTACCTAGGAAGTGTTCTCTTACCGCTGGTTAACGAAACTCGCTTGTTAGACAATCCATCTGTGTAAACTGGTTTACCGCTGTCTGACCTGGCTCAATACATATTTAGAACTGTGAGTGGTGCGGGATTGAACAGTCCTGCCTCTGCGAAGTTGTAAGTGAGGTTAGCCTTTAGTCCGTTTACGAGCCCCCTATCACCAACACCCACGGTGCCACCCTGCCATCAATAAATCACCCCACAGCTTGCTTCCACAAGTTGAATTTCACCGCAAGGACTTTGTCCATATCCACTGTACTCTAACTCGCCGCCAGTCCCTACTTTCCACGACTCCCGCACTGCCTCCTCCCACGCCTGCCACCGCCTAAAATCATCGGGGCTCTGTTTTGTTTCACCGCCTCGCGCAATTCGTCAACAACCCACCACAGTCCTCGACAAACATCATGCGCGCCTTCGTGCACCTTCTTGCAACTCTCTAGCCCCAAGATGCCCACAGACAGACACCATGCTAACAATACTCGGCCGCTGATGCCGACGCTGGCTTCCAACCGCACCGCCAAAACTCCCAAAACTCCACGACTCGCTCCCTCTTCAGCTTCTGCCCAAAGCAATGCCAGCCAGACACGGCGACCAGACCGCAGCGATGCACCGGGCTACACACCGAGAGACACTGTTCCACGAGACGACCTGTCCACGCCCGTTAAGGCCTTTCTAAACAACAATATCACACCCCGCTCTTCGTCGAGAAAATCCCGCGTGGGGACAAACAGTACTCAATCAACTCCCAGTGGCACTCCATCAGGCACGCCTACGACTTCTCGGCCTGTATCTACTACTGGCGGGCTCGATACCAGGGGCCAGGGAAACGCACTCAATGGGCTTGGCATATACGGCTCGTCTGGTTGTAGGCCGAAGAACCTGGTCAATGGAGGCTCTGGGCCTCAAAATGGAGCCCTCGCACGATCGCCAGCCTCGTACGGTTCTGATAGTAGCGGACCCCGCGAGAATTCGCCCATGTTCTTCCACGCCTTGGACTCGAGGTTGCAGGATTCAAATCCAGCCCAGAAAAAATCGGCAGCTTTCTTCTATGCGAACGGGATAGAGGATGAGCGTTCTCCTCGTCTTAGCAGAGGGCCGTCACCGCCGCTCTCTGCAATTGAGAGAGCACGCTCACAGCCTCAGTCAGACATCAAGAGTCACTCCCCGATCCTCACGCCGCCTTTGACAACTGTTCCTGAAGCAACTTCGTATCCAAACCCAGCACATAACCTTCCTTCATTACGACCACCATCGCCGTCGAAGGAGAGTATACACTTATCATACAGAAAAGGCGCTTCACAAGTGATCCGCCCGTCCATATCTCAGAGACCTTCTGAGCTGTCCATTCTGCCTGCCCATTCATATTTAGGGAGCCCTGGTGTCCGAGAATCTGACAATGAGCGGGCCTCACGCCGAAGATCCAGTGCTGAATCGTCATCAGTACGCATCGGCCATGCTAAAAGTGCAAGTCTTTCATCTATTGACTCTGGCACCCCAATAAAGAAAGCATTCCAAGCACATATCGACTCAGGCTCCTCGCCATCGCCTAGTCCACTCCAAAGAGAGGCTGGATCAGTGAGCAATGGATCTAGGCCAGATAACATGGTTTCTGGATCCACGCCCCCCAGAGAAGACTTGTCCGGCTTCCCTCTATCCTTGCCTCAGAGCCCTACAAAATCAAACCTGGGCCAAAGCGCGCTCCAGCATATGAATGAGCTTGCTGCAAATGCACGGCGAGAGCGCAAAGTCCTAGACTTGGAGATAAGCAATTCATCGCTACTCGCAATCAACCGTCAACTAGAGCGCGAGGTCCGGAGACAGAAGGCCGAACTCCGTCGGTTCCGTAGGCTGAGCCGTGCCGGTCGCTTTTCATCTGACACCAATCGCTCATCTTTGGGCGAATTGTCGACAATCGCCGACGATGACAGTGACGCTTGTTCAGACACTCAAGAACAAGACCTTGTGGAAGAACATGAGCATAACGAAGAGGACACCAGTGATTCATCCTTCGACGAGGAGGCTCTCAGTCCTACCGCGCTTGCCGATCGAGATGCATACTACAGAGAGAAAGACGAGAAAAGACTTCAGCTGGACCTTTCGAGGCATCGCGAATTGCTCGTAGACAGCCAGAAGATGAACCAAAGCCTGAAACGATGCTTGGGATGGACCGAAGAGCTAATCAATGAGGGAAAGAAGGCACTTGAGTATAAGGTTCGAGTCAGCGACGTCAAATTGGGTGGGCGTGTCCTGAGCTCCGAGGAACAGGCGCAAACCGAGGCTGGCGAAGACATCGTGCAGGGAGGGACTTTACTAAGTGCATGGACACTACCGGATCGATCGGTATCTGTATCTGACCGCGTTTCAATGTCATCCAGCCGCACAGACAGAGACAGTGGCGTTGAGCTTGAAGGTTCAAACCAGACAGGAGATTATGGATATAATAACCAGGGCGATGTTTCAGCGAATTCCGAGGCTGCCCTCGACCACGGCCATTGAGGAGAATCCCTGGAGGACGAAGATTCATACCGCAGAATAAGTAGCTGCCATATACCCCTATTTCTTTTGTGATCATATTTTGGGAGGAAGGATCCTGAAGGCGTTTGGAGAGCTGTTTGTCCAAGAGCGCATCTTTACGGACTGGAAGGAGTTGGTGTCGACTGTTAAGTCTGGTTGTTCAAGTGTCGGCCGCATCTCCTCCTATCGTTCTTTTTTTTCCCTTATAACGAAACGGCGCTAGGCCAACCAGGATAGACTTTCCCAACTGCTGCCAATTGTCCGCACTTGTATTATATATAGGAGATACCCTAAGAATTCCCATCTGTTTACTTATTTAAAAACATGCACTTATTTGCGAATAATATATTAAATAAAACTTATTACCTTAAAATAGTAACTTAGCTTAGCTATTTATCTAAAAGAATTTAGAGCGGGATATATAGCGTAGAATAAAAGTATAGTAGGGGCCCTAAATAAAGTATAATAAAGAATAATTAGGTTTTCTTATAAGTAGCTTATATATTAACGTAGTTTACTAGTAAATAGGCCACCCTAATTTTTAGTGCAATTTAGATAATTTAGTACTTTAGTATTTTTAATAGCTATGGATTATTTTAGGCTATAACTAAAGATATATATAGGTATATAGTTAATAATATTTTAGCTATCTACTTAGGCCGGCTACCTAAATAAGCTATACTTCTAAGCTTGCTTTTTTCCTACTAATAGCAGATTTTTCTACTTTATAGCTTAACTATTTATATACTAAATATAATACTAAATAGCTTAAATAACTTAGAGCTTTTTTAAAAAAAAAAATTTAGCTTATTTTTAATATATACTGCTAAGGGCCCGGTTTATTACTTTATAAAGCCTATAAAATTTTCTAGATATTATACTCTACCTTAAAGGCTTATAATAAGGGTAGATAATTTACCTAGGCCTACTAGTAGTTATAATAATATCTATTAGTTTAGAAAGAAAATACTTTTATTAAATATATTTTTTATATAGCAGCCTAGTTTTAGCTAATTATAATTATATACTTAAAAGGCTTAGCTAAAAGTATACTTTAAAAAAAGGAAGATTTTAACCTTTTTAGCTATAACTAGTATAAAAACTTCCTTTAGCGCTATTTAAAAATTAAGCTAAAGCTTACTTATAACTATAATTAATTAAGAAAGGATATTATAAAGTACTAAAAGCTAGAAAAGTAGTTTTCTTTATATTAAAAAACTATAATAAAGTATAGGATTTTATATAAAAATTAATATAATATAAATAAAAAGGGCTTTAAAAAGGGAGTAGAAAATAGTATAAAAGTTATATAAAAAAAATTAATAGATAAAGTAGTAGTATAGAAGTTTCCTTTAAAAGTTTCTACTATACTAAAAACGCTATAGCGTATACTAAATATTAGCCTACGCTATAAACAGTCTAGCCCCTTTCTATATAGGCCTAGCGCTAACGAAAATCCGCTATATTAATACTAAAAAACTCCTTTATTATTTTTATGCTCTACTTAATTCTTATTTACTACTATACTATATATAATAACGCTATAAAGGCGCAAGCCCTTATATTTAAGGCTATAAATATTTTTTTTAACTAAATTACTGCTATTACTAGTATATTAAAGTATATAATTTAGAACGTTTAGAAAAAGGCTATAAATTGCGGCTAGAACCCCTAATAATTGCTTAAAGTTTTTAATATATACGTGTAAAATACACTTTACTCTAGCCGGCTAACTATATAAACCTAAAAAAAAATTGCAAAAATAGAAAAGTTAGTTACTAAAAGTAAAGCTAAAAGGGAATTAAATACTTACTAGCTTATAAAAAAGGTAGAAATCTTAGCTATAACTATATAGCGTATTTTTCGCCGCTACTTTAATATGCGGAAGATAAAACCTATATAAAAACCTAGGCTATAGAAGTAGATAAAGTAGGAATAATTATAGTAGTACCTTAACTATTAATACTAAATTTTTAAAAACTAGAAGAATATTATCTAGAGTAATAAAACGGCTTTTATAGTTAGCTAGCGCTATAAAGAATATTATATCTAGCGTTAGTTAAATAAATAGTTCTTGCGTATAATAATATAAGAATACTAGAAAAAATACTTAGAGTTTATATTCTAGAGCTGCTTTTTTTATAATTGTAAGGGCCCTTACTATATTTAGTACCTAGAAATAAAGGCTAAACGCGCTATAGTAGATAAAGATTTTACTAAGCTTAATAAAACTATTAAACCTATTACACGGGCAGAGTAGAAGCTAGAAAATCCTCTATCGCGCCTTAGAGCAACACGTAACCGCCTAGGTAGAAAGCTGAAGTAGCAGTTTATATAGAATACTAGAAAGTTTATAAAAGGTAGTAGAACAGGCGTTAATTAGTATTGCTATAAAAAGAAGATTTTAGAAAAAAGCTTATCCTATTTACCTAGCGCTGCGCGCGCGATTAATAGGGTATAATTATATAGGAAGATTATACTCCTGCGCATATATATTATTATTAAGCAACTGTCTACGCCGCTACTAAGGTCTAATAACTTCTCTAGGTTGTAAATTCCCTAGATTTTAACGCGATAGAGCCTGCCTAGCTTTACCTTAAGCGTATAACTATAAAAAAGGGCGCGCTAAAATCTAGGGTATAAAAAGATAAGCAGTAGCGGCAGAGCTGGAAAAATATAGAGTAATAGCGCTACTAGGCCTAGATTTAACGGATTCTATAATATATTTAAAAAATAATTAGGCTTAAGGGCGGTAATAAGTATAGAAAGGGCGCTATAGAAAAAACTTACTATTTAAAGCGCCTAGACGACTAGGCAGATGTTAATAATAATAATAACAACGATAATAATAATAATAACAACAATAATAATAATAACAATAATAATAATAATAATAATAATAATAATAATAATAATAATAATAATAATAATAATAATAATAA